AGACCTTAAAATTAGGTACCAATCGCTGCGACTTGTAACGGCACACACGCTTCGTTTTTTCCACGAGGCTCTACCTCTATTAGAAGCGAAAACGGCGTGCTGGGGTCATCAACCCCTCCGAAACCCATTTTGTTTGCGGGAAAATGAGGAACTTATAGAAAGAACACTTTTCTAATTTTTTGCATGTCGATTTGCAATGACATGAAGTTTATTTTCGAAAAAATAAAAATGTGAAAAATTTTGGTCCCAAAAGTCATTAGAGGCAAATGAAAAAAGATTAAGGTTTTTGTTCAATCAAAATTTTTCTTAAGATTTTTTAAAAAGTAATATCAATTTTTGGTTCATCGCAAGCTTAGTGTTGTTTCCCGTTTGTTGGTTGCATAACCCGTTCTTGAGTTATAGGCCATCAAACTCACCGTTACAAACCGAAGTTAAAAAAATGTAATGCAATATAACTCAAAAAGTTTTGATCTGAGAAGTCTGATATTTTGCCAGGCGTCTTTGGGGCCTATGATTACCCCTAGGACCGATTTTCATTAAAATCTGAGAGATGAGGGTGACGGGCCTGGTACGATCTATCGTGGAATGCCCCATGTATCGGATATATCGTGAGGAAGCTAAGAGTCGCAAATGTATAATTTCACTTATGACGTCACTGTGACGTCATTTCAAGTGGGATCGACACCAAATGTGGACACAACCACGGCTAGGTATTCAGGAATATGTGTGCGAAGTTTCGATTCTCTATCTTGTCGCGTTGCGACGATATCGTCACTGAAGTATAGAAGGGGCAACTATATGCCCCCCCCCCCCAGCGGCCGGCGCACAGTGTGGCCAAACGCCAGATTAGCGCGAATTTAATCAAAAAACGAATTTTGGAATTTTGACTTTTTATAACTATCAGTCGATAGGAAATTGTCCAAAGTATGTCAATATCACAATATTTTGGTTCAATGTCTTCCTTTCGATGTCCAAAAAGCTAGCTAAAGTGGACATACGCAATGCCGGTCCCGGCTGTGCTGAAATCGTCGAAAACCCGCGTCATGCTTACAACACATTTTGGCGTAATTGTCGGAAAGGTTTGGAAATAATTGGAGTGGCATATGACTACTGAGCCTATATTTGATAGTATACCCGAATTCTATAGGTATCCTTGGACTAACCGATGAGTTATGCTCATTTGAAAATGACCTTTTCAAACATCCCCTGAAAACACTGTCCATCTTAAAAACGTAGAGATATAAGAAAATGGCCAAAAAACTCCACGCCAAATCTACCATGAGAAGATTTGCCACACTTTTCTGGACATGATCCATTCAAGAAACCCTGCCCCAACCTGCCCCCCGGCCTTTGGCTCAGCTTTGAACGTATCGGGTTGGCCCGCCCGGGGAGGTCCGGCTATAGGGTGGGCGCGGCGGCGGCTCCGTAACGTTACGCGAATGGCTCAACCGCTGTATTTCTGACTTGTTATATTGCAGAATACGGTTGCCAATGAATAAATATTGACAATTTTTCAACCCTCGCCCATATAGGGGGTGAGGGTGGGGTCGAAAGGACCCCTCTCGGTTTTTCGCAAAAAGCTCATGTAAAAAGCGGCCGATCGCGACGAAATTTTCAATACCCTCGAGTTTTATCAATTTTACACCTACCCATTAAATTTCACGACCCTGACCCCAATGACCTTTGACCTGTGACCTATTTCTCGAGACCATGTTTGGCCGGAAGCGCGATTGGGCGTATGTTTGCTTGCATTAGCCGCGCGTTTGCAGTCTTTTCGTGGTTTCAAGCGTCTAAACATGTGATATTATGATGTTGGTCCCATGCATTATGGTCGGTGTCAAGATCACTTGAAGGTCAGGTCAGTTCAATGACCTTTGATGACCTCGGTTCACCTTTTTTAGTTTTACATGCTTCCAGGCTAGTTTTTGGTCTTTGGAGCTGATTTCGAATTTAGTATAACCATTTGAACATTTAGGAAGAAGTTTTGGTGCCTTCGTAACATGCAACGAAGCTGTCACTGGCGGTTGACACCTATTAATTATGAATACCCGGCAGGACTGGTTGGCCTGACCTGACCTGACCCGACCTACGTTCGCGGCTACCAAAACACCAATACGGGCGAGGGTTAATGACATGAAGGTTGCTTATGGTGTAAGTCTTTGTTTTTACTCCCATTGCTGAGGTTCAGTCCTATCGGTGCGTGTATTTCAGCAACCATCTACCGATTCATGTGCTTCACCAGGAACATTCCCACAGAAACATAATTAGATGTTGATTTTTTTTTTCAAGCAAACTTTGGACAATCATAAGAATTTACCAGAGAAATGATGGGAATTTCGTAAACGATTCCTCCTCCTAACATGCCCATCATTGCTGGGACCCACAATTTTATGCCTCTTAGTTGCGGTTAAATTCCAGGATTTCGTAATCAGAGTCGGAGTCGTTCGGAGTCAACAGTTCTGACCCTGCAGTCAGAGTCGGAATCGAAATCGATTTTGGAATCCGGACCAAGACTCGTAGTCTGAGTCACCGAAAATCCATCGACTGCGTGGACTTGCCATGGCTGCGGAGTCAGAGTCCGAGTCGATCGTATAAGTCGACAGTTTTGCCCGGAGTCAGAGTTGAAATTGACTTTTGAAAGCCGTAGTCGGAGTCGGAGTAACTCCATCGACTTCACAGCCCTGGCCTGGTAAGCACATCACCCGTCGTAAGCTAGTCCTCCTTACTTTTAGAGGCGAAACTATGCCATTATATGCCAGCAAGCATTTATAATGCATCGTAAAAGGTCTCACATAGGTTTAAGTGTCAATTTTGAAACCAGGGAACCACTTTCAACGGATCCGAGCAGCGCTGGGATTTAATTCGCGCTAAACTGGTGTTTGGCCACACTGTGCGGCGGGTGGCGGGGAGGCCCTGCGGCGCCGGATTAAGGAATAGAAAGGAATCCAATCCAGCTGCTCCTATCCGTCCTGTCACCCAACAGCTATTCATGGTCGATGCAGTTCTTGATCAGCAGAAAAATTTGTTAAGGGAGTGCCGATCTCTGACAAGTAGTAGGTACAAGTAGTAGGTAAATTCATTGTATAGATAAATAACGTCCTTTTGCTAAAAGCTTTTGATGAATCTGGTGTCGGAAAAAAACATGCTTCCAAGCGATCGGCGCTCCAATGCAAAAAGGGGAGTATGGGGCAACTTGGCCGCTTTTATTAGAAAGCGTTGTATCTCAAAATTGGCAACCTATTTCTGCACTGTCTCAACGATGGCAGGTGTCGCATTCATTTTACTTTGCCCTACAGTAAACTGAGAATGATAAAGTAACTACTATGCTTAGATTTTGACGTTTTGAAAAGGTCTGCAAAGCGGCCAAATTACCCCGCTTGCAGGTTTATTTGGCCGGTGGGGTGGGGCAATTTGGCCGGTGTGAATTTGAGGCCTGGAGTTTTATGTTACAGTCGGAGTCGAGTCAGCTTCAGCGTCAGCAATGGCGTGTGTCCTATACGCATGTTTAGGCTGACGCGGTGTCGGACTTATATTCGAATGTCTTTGGCTCAGGTCTTGTCAGTGATGTTAATTAATAGGTATTTTCCTGCTCAGCTGAGAATGCGCTTCCCTTGCGCACGCTGCTCAATGAAACGTTTGCATTAATTTGTCATAAAAATATTGTCCCAATGTAGCTTTTAATTAGTGAGGGGCATAGGCGGCGGAACGAGGAGGGCACCGGGGCACCGTGCCCCCTTTTGATTTTGGCATTTGCTCTATGGGCGTTGCATGGAAAGAATGGAACCAAAAGTCGGCGGTGCCCCCCCCCCCCCCGTAATTGAAGGTGTTCTGCCACTACTGGTGAGGGGCATAATTTGGAAAAAAATACAATTTTTATTTTAGTCGAGAAATAATCGACTAATTTCAATTTACATTTCTTTGCAATCAATGAAATAACTCAACTCGATATCAATCCCTCACATCTTGTAACCTTCCCACGTCTGCAAACACGTTTTCGATACTTTTTGCGAACTGCAGCTGCGACTATCAGTTTGATTTGAGCAAATCCCTGGCTTCTTAGTTATACTGCGTTGTGTAGTGTCTTGACCAGCCGCTATACCTAAGGCAGACTGTACCGCAATGCCACCGCCGGCGGCAGCGGCTGTGAGCCCAACCAGCTCGGCACCACGAGCTTAGCAACTCGGCTGTCCCAGCATAGCAATCCTGAGAACACCGGGACACCGGGCCCCGGCCAAATAACCCCGCATTGCCATTCTGATAATTTTGTCTATAAAGTCGCTACGGTTATATGGAAATAGGTGAAATTGCTCTTGGAAACGTGGAACACTCCTAAGAATGGCACCACAATGTCGGAATTCGTTTACAGCCCAAATAACCCAAATTACTGCCCAGATAATGTTATGCATTTTTTCTAATGAAAGTAAAAGTTACCACTTTCTAATGAAATTCACGTTTTATTGATTTTGAATTGAGTTTCAAAGGGGAGAGTTTTGAAAAATGTCATGGTTTAGTTCCACCAATGACACACGAATAGAGGCTAAAATTATTTCGCTCACTTTTGTCAGACATCGTAATTCGTACAGGTGGGGGCGGCCAAATTATACTGCCGGCCAAATTACCCAATCATCCCCTACGGAATATGTTACCCCTTAGTCTTCTTATATCCGTACCTAATTTTACCTGCCTACTGTTGGATATCGATGATTGTCAAACGCAGCTTCATGAATGTAGATTTCCTCGACACCAATAGCAATCCTTGGGGCTGGGACTTAGAATGCTCCTTTCTTTGGGTTCGCCATTGCGAATTGGATCTTAAAACCTACGGGCCACTGAACATGTCACCCCTCATGGGTTCCTAGGTCTTTTTACCTAATAACTGACCGTCACTTTGCTCGCTAATGTTATGCGATAGCAAGACATCCCCGAAGTAAAAAATACTTTGCTGCTGCAGATATGGTAGCACCTATCAAGGCAACCCAGGCTGCCAAATTTAGCAGACGTCGAGTTGGTCGCAGTGGGTGGTGCGTGACAGTGCGTGATAATTGCGTCGCTCTGTGTTGGTACCCTACACATTCGATTTTGGTAGGTAAATGAATTATGAGGTGTAATGGATTTTGTAATAGCGCTGTATCGTTTCTAAATCCTCAATCTAAACAGAAAATATCTGGTTTCATGCTCACAACCTGCAGTAAATTGAGGCCATTGCAGCTGGAATCAGAATGCTGAAAATGAGATTGGTTATATGGCCTTGGTGAGATTGCCTTTTGAGGTGGGGCTAGAATTACCGTGTATTTATTTAGGTTTGGTATTCTGGTTTGGTTGAAAAAAAAACGATTTTCATAAAATGGCTACATCGGTTGGTTAGTTGTAGTGTATTTCCATGCTGAATCGTGAAGTTATGCAGCTGTTCTGATTCGGGAGGTTGCATCAAAAATGAAAGCAACTTGGCCTTTCTTTACAAATATCAATAATGCTCAGTTGATATTTGTATTAAGATTTGTTGACTTGTTGCACTTGTTTTTTTCTACAGGTTTCAAAGAGTCTGTGGCATTGGCTTGAAATGGAGCTTGGTGTGACCTTGGGGGTTGAATTCCATGGATTGGCTTTGCATGTTGAGATCAGTCATCTATGCTAAGCTTTCTTTTGTAAATGGTTATGTTGTTTCATGATGATAAAGCTGTTATTGTGAATTATTTAGCTATTCTTCTTGGGAATCCATATTCTGTTACATTACATAGCTGCATCATGACAAAATCTTGAAATCAAATTGAAATTAGCAGTTGTGTCTGTGACACAGCTAAGAGGTTTTAGTTTCAGAACCTGGTTGGTTGGCAAAAAGCATTGAAATTATTTTTGGTCAAGCTGGGTCATTTCAGCATATCATTGTGCACTGTTTTGTTGTAATCATTGTTTTGCACATCTCTTGTCTGGTAATGATCTTGACTTTTACTTCTGGTTACGTGTTCCAGGGACAAAGATGAGTAATGAACCAGGTAACATGAAGACAAACTACGGAATGGGCTTCACCATCCAGTCCATAATTGACGAAAATGCTGACCTGCTAAAAATAAATCCAACAAACACAGGTGAGGACCCATAGAGGCTGCTAGAGTGCTGTTGACCCTGATGTTTTGCTTGTGTTGTATTTTGCTGCCATTTGCTGCTGGTCAACAAAGAATGCACCAGCTAAACACAAAGCTTAGGAGTGAAGGGAGGGAAAGGGCAAAAATGGCCACTTTTGGTATTCTAAATAAAATTGAGATAGAGGGGCAGAAAACATGCAACTGCTCTACAATCCCTTCAAGTGTAGTTTTAAAGTCATTTCTGCTCCAGAAAGTATTCATTAATTGGATCCCCAAAGTTTATTTAAATCAAAAGCTATCGACAAAATTATTTACGACCTTATACAACGTCCATGAAATATTCAGTTGACCGTTGACCAGTGGCCATCAGATGCGCCTCTCTCAATACGAGTAAAAAGCTTGATTTTTTTTTCTTGTCTACCGCTCTTTTATAGGAAGACACCCAATGGAACAATACCTATAGCATCGTATGCTTGAAATAGGCATGCTTAAGACTGCATGGCACATAGGTTTAGCCATGTTGCAGAATATCTAATATTTAATACTTTCCTTTGTGGTTTTATGATGAATATCTCGTAGTTAGGCATATAGTTTTCATGCTGGTAAATAAATTCCTTTGGTTTTATGTACAACAAGGCTACAAGCCTTCTAAAATCTGATACAATTCGAAAACGCTCGCCTCAGCTGTCTTCACTGAACAAAGTCGCGATTTTGCGCAGTGGAAGTGAACCCAGAAGTTCCCGGGTTTCTGGGCCCTGTGATAAAATGCGTTGACATCTCGCGCCGTGCTCCTAGTTGGCTACTGCTGAATGTCCGACGGCCACATACTTTCCCGATACGATCTGATGCGCCTTGTCAACAGCCCACCGCCTGATCTGCAGCAGGCTTTACTGGCACCTTGTGTATAAACCGCCACCGGTGAACACAAAATCCGTTTTACGGTGTCCATTGTTACCACTAGAGCCGTGATTCCTGTCGGATGCCAGCCTCTTCTGAGGCAGCTCGCTCGCCTTGTGCATCTCCTGGCGTCATGACTGGCGTATTGATCGCTCTGCTGCCATGATGACGACACCGCAACTCTGATCCGGCCCGAGCCGCTATCGCCGTGCACATCGTGAGGCGCCAGACCTCCGGGGTCGTGCGGTACGCGGGACGAGCGGGTTTGTTCAACCAAACGTTCTCATTAGGTGTATGCTTAGACATGCGGATTGCGGATGCTGGTAGTCTTCAACACAGTGGATCGAGCCCTGCAGGCTGCTGAGGAAGAAGAGCAAACGGCCAATGGGATTTCTGGCGGAAAAGCTGTCGGCCGTTGAAGGGTGGCGTCGATGGTCAGGTCAATAAGCGTATGTGCGAATGGGTCAAATTATACTCGAGGGGATTTTTACGGGTTAATGGCCGCGTGTTTTTTTCGGTATATGCCTCTTCCTCTAGACATCACACATGTTGATGGTTAGGTATATTTCAGTTGGTCATTAATGAAACGGTAACAATCAATAGACGGTTGGGTACAACGCCATTCATCCAATCGATCGATAGAAGATAGTATGGTACAATTCAGAGATCAGATCCCGGCCTTCAGCCTTCCGGCACTCGATCAATAGTCCGTGCTCAAGTGCGCCAGGACATTGGACGTGGGCGTAGTCAGTAGCGTATGTATGGCTGCACACATACATTATGCAAAACCGAGCTGACTTATTTGGGATAATTCGATGGGGGAAGAAGCATTGCTCTCGACTTTGCGCTTGAGTCGCGCATTGACGTTATTATTCGCCACTTCTTTTGAACACAGGTTAAATGTCATGGTATTCATTTAACATTTTCACCCTGCGAGCCATGACATGGCGACCATGTCAGAGACATAAACGACACGTCCTTTAAATGGCGTAAATACACTCCGTTTCTGCATATCTAAGCACCGTGAATGCATTATTGAATGTTTAGCAAGGGAGGCGAAGCCTTTTGGCGAGACTGGCCTCTGTCGCTTGAATAATATGTCGCGACTGCTGGCATATGAGCCGCTGTCAATCGTTGAGGCAGGTAATGCTAGTTTCAGTTGAAGAAACGTGAGCGATTCTGACTGGACTTCCAGTGCTGGGCTTGCCAATTCCAGTGTTCGGCCTTTGGTAACAGAATATGCCTAGTACAATCCACAACCAATTCGCTTGAGTGATTGTCTCCTGGCATGCGACTTTGCGTGGCTTTAGTAAAACCATGAGTGCTGAAAGCAGAAAAACAACAGCTTTGGACATCAATAAAACAGCATTAAAGGAACTTGATAATGTGTGCGGTTTTTCCTATGTAGTGGTAACACGATTGGTATTTACGATCCAATGTAGTTTCAAAATGGGAAAGCATTGCGAGGAAGTCCTCTGTTCATTTTTTTTAAAGTTCCATATGGCCATCTATCTATCCTTTACTGGGCCAAAAACTCAAGATCTTTCATCTCTTCGATGTTCGGAACTATGCTGATTAGGGATACCTAGTTTGATGCATTTTAACAGCGATCCTTGCAAAATACAATCCGCAAACAAAGTTTTCTATGAAAAATATTGGCCACGAACAACTGTTGGCTTACCTGAGTTACCACATCACGCATATAAGACATTTTCTCAACATATTGCCAATTTTTATGATTCGAGGCCTGTCTGCTCCTAACCGCAGTATGTAATTCCCGCGACATCGCCCTGTCCGTCCACCGTCCAGTGTGCTCGTTGTCGGGCGGCCGTGGAGGTTCGACGGGGCGGACGGTCACAGCGGCTGCTGACCCGCGGCGACCCGTACTCGCAGCGGCGAGGCCGCCCCCTCGCACACATACACACACGCGTGTCCGCAGCGCCGAGCCCGTCCCCAACGCGCAGTCGTGCCCCTGTCCGCCACAGGCAGCGGCGTGCCTACCCCTTTCCACACTCACACGCGCGCAGTGCGCACCGTGCGCACCCGCAGAAGTGCTGCTGGACCTCACCCTGCCGCCGACCCCTGCCGCCGCCCAGCCGCGGCTCCGGCCGCAGATGGCCCCGCTGTGGTCCTGCAGGACCAGCAGCCCTGCTGTTAGCCGTTTCCGTGGCCACGTTCGCGGCTCTGACCGCAGATATCTGCTGCGCGTGGCGGAGGACGAGTCGCTGCCCCGTCTGTTCAGCGCGCCAACTGCGCTCCTCGTGGCGAAATCGTCTGACGGGCGGCCGTAAATACACCCCGTGCCTGCGGCAGACGCAGACCGAATCGTTACTGGTTTAGTAGGGCAGTAGTTGTTGATGGAGTAGACACGTGGCGCGGGTTGATTTAGGTGGTGGTGACGGGTGGTGTGGGTTACGCCCCTAAGTTGGTGCTCCCCGCCCCCATCCTCGGGACGGTACTTCGGTGGTGACAGGTAGTGTGTGGCACACCCCCAACCCGCACGGAGCTCTCCTGACGTGCCACTAGCTGTGTCCCCCTCCCCACGCATGCGTTACTCGTGTGCGTGTTTGTAGGCTATAGGTTACGCATGGGCGTGACCCTAGGCTGCAGGTAGCCCCCCCCCCCCCCGGGGTCTTCCAGTGCCTTTAGGGGCAGGCGAAGGGGCACGCCCCCCAAGCTGCCACGCACTGCACCAACATTCCATGCTCCGCCGCAGTGCGATGACGGCGCGGTGGGACGGGGCGCTCCATACTTCCGCGAGGCCCAGCGGCTGGCCAGTGGCGCTGCGGCGCCCTGCAGACCGGCCGTTACATAACGCCGCCGGCACCAGGGAACTTCTGCCGAGTTCGTGCGACGCGGAGAATCACAGCGAGCGAGCTGCACGCGCTGTCGCCTAACTATGCCCGATGAATTTTTCACCGCTCGGACGTGTTCGTAGTGCAAACGAGCCTACATTGATTGCAGTTTGGACTTTGGACCACATTTACTGGAATATGATTTGATGCATACCTCAACTGGAATTCATGGAAAGGAATTGTGCCAACATTTCCTATGAGGCATTTCCAGTGAGCAAAATAGTGACAATTCAGGCGTTTTCAGTGGAAGGCTGCTTCGCGCCGTAGCGACAGCACGCACGAAACAGCAAGTGGCGAATGGTGATGTGGGAACGGGCGTTTTTATGCCGGAATGCCTCTCTCCTCCAGCTCAGCCTCTGGACGAATAAGCTGCTAGCGACAAACGGAAATCGGTGTCGTAAAAATAGCTTTAAACATGTCCCAAAATAGCGGTCATTGTTTGGGCTCCGCAAAACATCAGGCTCATTAGAGAGAATGCTCAATATTCTCTTGAAAAAAGGATTCAAATCGATGACCCTTTCTTACAGCGCTTTCCGAAATGTGTCCTCAGTTTTGGACTGGGTCGACTTTTTACGTCTCGAGCGCAATACAGTTCGACGTTTTTTTTTCTTCTTCTTGTGATTAAGTCGTTAATTTTCTTGGTTCAGTGTTGTGGTCATCAATGATAAGAGAACGAATTTTACTTGAAAAAACGTTTTACTTCAATTGGTATACCTACAACCTTTATAGACGTAACATTTTCATAGTGGGGGCGGGGGGGGGGGGTCGGGCCACTCAGTATCACTTTACCAATCGTATGTATCAGCTTTTCCTCCCCTGTACTGGCTACGCCGTTGAACGAAGCACGCTCGCTTTATATTCGTTAAAAAATGCTTACGTGTGATAACGCGAACAAGAAATGAGTCGCTCAGTTGTGCACTACTTTCGATCATATCCAGTTGCAAGTAGCATGCTGCCAAGCATGCTGCTGCCTTCCAAAAAGCTGCAGCCAACAGTCCGAACACTGGTAAATGTCGTCATTACACATTACACCTGGTATTTTTCGGTGTTTCATTGAGTTGGTCTCACGAGCTGGCCTGACTCGGACACTTCCCTGTCGCTGTGCGCACCGGTTCAGTGTGTATCCGTGCCGGCCACGGGGACGCCGAGTACACATCAACATCGGGAATACCGACATGGCAGCTGTCATGTTTCGGGCCAGTCGACAATAGTTTCAGCGTATCTGATTGAGGAAAATGCGGTTTCGGTTTCACTAGCACAATGCAGTGTTGGTTTCATCCGTCCCCGTGCGTGCAGTGGTGAGCTGTTCCATTACAGGCGCCGCCAACTCTCAGCAGCCCGATCGGTGCCCCATAAAATCAGAAAGAATGAATGGAACATTTCAGCTTGTTATGTCAAGCAATCATTCATCCATCGTTTCAGAATTCATCCCGGTATTAAGACGAAAAATTGTCATCCCAGAGCCTTAAATTGTAACCTCCATACCACCTGCAGCTGATAAAGTTTAGAATGCCGCTATGCTCAAGAATCAAGATATTCCAGAAACTGTTGGTTCATTTGCATTGCATCAGTGTTATCTAGCGTGTTTCATCAGAAGCGTCTCGGGCTCTTGAAATTGGCGTGCATACCATGCTAGATCACTGAGTACGCTACGCTGTCGAGTAGAATAACATGATAATAACACGCGAATGGATCCGCCTTCTCTTTACCTGACTAGTTACACCGGCTCTTCTGGTTTTTCCTTCGCATTTTCGTCACTTTTCTTCGTGTGAAATAGCCATTAGTAAGTTCTGCACGAAGCACCTAAGTGCTTTGATGCTAATCAGTACCATATTTGGCCGTAACTTGTGACGTTTGAGGTAGGCCTGGGCTACTGACGGTGAGTATGCGTCCTCCGCGGCTATCAGTGTGATGTAGACGGTGCGTTTGGACATTTTTCCTGTCAAACTGTTGGAAAGCTTTGTAGTTTGTGTCCTCTGAAAACGAGTAGCATGCTGCTCATTAATTACGGCGTTCGGCTGGTATGTGATGTGGTTTGGAGATATCCCAGTAGAGCTGTGTAGTGTGCAGTTAGTTAAGTTGGATACTGGTTCCTGGCTTGACCTACGTTTCAGAGGTCTTGCAGCGACAGTATGTGAAGTCGACAATGTATGTATTTGTTCGCCGTTTGTTAGACAAAAGATGCATTCACGTCATCACATCCCCAAAACTACAAACGTTAATCAAAGCATGTTTTGATTAGATGGCGGGTGCAGTGATGGCGTAAGTGCCAGATCAGCACACAGTTGCGAGTTGCTTCAGTCCGTGCTAGAAGGGACTGTGAGACAGTGACAGAAGCTCGACTAATCGCTCCCCGCTGCAGACCGCCAATCTGTTCGGCTCGGCTGGCTGCCCTCGCCGGCCACCGGGTCCCGTGGCCTTCGTCCCTGCAGCGGATCTATGGGCCAGTTCTGAGCAGCGGTTCTGCGCGCTGCAGCGGTGACAGTCGGTCGATCCTACGGGCCGGCCCTGCGCGCTCTCCCAGCAGGTGCAGCGGGCTCTCTCCCTCCACGGCACAAGAAATCGACGGCTGGGATAGGACCGAAATTGACGGCTGGGATAGGACTGGACATAGCTGAACTTCATTCGATGTAGACCTGTCAATTAGACATTCTGCATATATTGACGCTTATCGTATCTTGGCAGTGTGAGAAGTGAATTCATTAGCGTGGGCACCTACATATTTGGCAGTGGGTACCGGTATTGTGGACGCTACTCGATGCTAGATGTAGTAGTGTAGTGGAGCCCTACTCGGCCAGGTCGGGCCCATGTGCCGCGGCTCGCGCCCGCTGCCGGGTGTCTCGCGGTCGGCCCGCCGCCTGCCTGGCAGCGAGTTATGTAATGGCCTCGGACGGTGACGCAATGGCCTTGGCCGCTGGCCAGCCCGGCCGCGCCGCCCTCCGCCGGCCGGCCGGACAGAAATCGATGCTGGTCCGACTGCGACGCACCTTGGACACAGGCGGCACGCGTCCCACGGGGGGGGGGGGGGGGGGAGGCGTCTGTCAACATCCCGCCAGTGGACATATGGGCATACTACTGTGGCTGATGGCCGCAGCAAAACGTCGTGAAGCCCTTACCGGCCTAACTGTCCATAGTATTGACCTACGCCACTCCGTAGTGCCTGGCCTCGGGCCTGCTCGTTGGGAAGCCCGCACAGTGCGGCCATTTTTCGTCCACGGCCTGTTATCGCACTGTTTTGCCCGTCACGACCACGCGCTCGATGATGTAATGCGTATTACGGCGGCGTCACAGGCCTTGAGGTCGACGCCGCCAAACACCAGACGTTCGCTGGGTGCTAAGGCGCGCAATGGCTTAATAGTTTTTACGTGATGATTGTCTATTAATTACGATAAAGAAGCAGTACTGGCCTCCGCAGTTCAGTCTCCCAAAAGCCAAACTCGTCATTATCACTCAACAGAGAGCTGTTCTTGCGTGAATCATTTTTGCACGCTCGCTCGCTCAGGCTCACATCATTCCATTTTTCGCAAATGGTGTAGGTACGGGGACCCGCAGTTGCTACTGTACACGAACACCAACTATAGCCGTCTGTCCTGTCCAGTAACAACCGACAACATTGATATCGACTGCCGGTCCCTGTACAAGAGCAGCTGAGGTTTTCTGTGCGTGCTCTCTGACAGCTTATCGTTGTTCCCTGTGAGGGTGCTGGGACAATTTACTCAGGGTCGCTGTACAGTAGCAACTGCGGGTCCCCGTACGGCGCTACGACACTACCACTATAACACAGATTAATAATTTTCAACCAATCTTTCCGTGTAAGTTTTGCTGTTTTAGCCACCAACCCCCCATAAACTAAGTTCAAGTCTGTACCTATGTACATCGTACACGCATTCAATTAATTTCAACTGAAGGAATTCACTTGGTCATTTCAATGTCAGGTAATGGTCCGGTAGTGTCCTGGGCTGTTAGTTGTTACAATGTAATTTCTGCTGTTTAAAATCAGTAATCACTGGAGTTCGTCGTAGGGTCAACGGCTGGGTACCGTTTGACCTTTGACTGTGGGTGTGTATCTGTGCGCGCCCCTGACTGATGTGTCTCTCGCCCTCAGATGAGAAGAAGGATGACGTCGGCTTCTGGTCGGGCGTGGACGCCCAGGCGGCGTTCCTCGGACCCAACATCTGGGGATCGCCCAACAACTCGGACTTCAAGGTGATACTCCCGACCCAGTGGTCCTTCACAAGGCGTGTGGAACGACCCGTGCATGGGCGGGTGGGGGCGGCGCTCAGCCGGTAAATAGTTAACCCTTGACGGATTCTGTGCGTCGTAAAATTTGGTGTGGCTTTTCCGACATCCATTGTGCAGAAATTTCGTAAGGAACTAAGGAGAACGCTGACTGCAGAGGGGATTCACAGATCCGATTGGCTATTCTTTGCTAGACTTCTGAGATGTTCGTCTGCATTGTGGTTTAACCCGCGCCCCAGTGTCAGTCTGGATTTTCCACGACCTGGTGTGTGTGTGTGTGGGGGGGGTGTTTGAACACCCCCCCCCCACTAACTCGGCTCCTAGGCATCGTAGAAAGAAACGGAAAAAAGCAATGGAAAGCTCGTCAAAAATCATTACGAATTTACTTCAGTCATTTTTTACCTCAGGTCAATATTGAGGTCACCAGAGGTCAATGAAAAAAAGTTTTGAAAATGTCACTTTTTTCAATCTTCTGCGTTATTTCTTAAAATAATGAAGTGAGAGTAAAATCCAACTAGGTGAGAAGAGCCAATATAACTGGCGACAGGGCACAAATGTAGGATTTGTGCTTAGGTCATTATTCGTGGTCCAGAGGTCCAATACACCAATACCTGCCTATGCAGTACCGTTCAGACCAGATGACCTGGTATGACCTTGAAAGTTCAAGATCATAAAATAGTCTTGTAACCGCCTCTCCTTGTATGAAAACACATCTAACACAACTTATCAACGTTTCCTAGCCAGTAGCTATGACACATCGTAGATACCACCTTTTCCCCATAGGTTTATAATGGAGGCACCCAAAAATGACCTGACCCGAGGTCACCGATATCAAAATTCCGAGATATACGAATTGTAGGTACCAATGAGTTATTGAAGTCCTGAAAGTTTCAAAAATTTCTGTCAACCACTATGGCCGTGGCTGGACCCCAAAGTTTTTTGGAGGTTGGATCACTTCGATTGACCTGGTGACCTGACCTGAGGTGACCTCAGACCTGGGTCTAAAATTTTCAGGGAAGGTGGGGAAAGGATGCCCGGTAAGGTATACCAAAAAACCGCAGGGGGGGGGGGGTGCTCAAACATCCCCACACACTTGGGCGCGGGTTAAAGGCATCTGTGGTTGTGATGTGGTTTTATAATTTTCAAAATTTGTTTTCAGCTTTCAAGAGTGGTAACTTCTCACATAATGAACCATGGAATTTGGTTAGTGCATTTGTTTTTGAAGTAAATACTCGCAATAAATAAATGCGTGAATAGATTTAAATTTAGTGGCGCTGCAAAATGCAGCCATATCTATAAAATATAAAAAGATTACTGGATACGGATGCCAATGGGTCAACAATCGTGATGAAATGCTACTTGGAAGCTTTGAACAACATATTTTTTCCTTAAAAAATGCGCTAATGAAGACAGAACTATGACAAAAAAACATCGTTTAGTAGCATGATGAAGATATTGTGTGTGAAGGCCTTCCTGGAAGCCCTGATGTTTCGTTAGATTCTTGGTAACCAGATTCGTGGGTCAAATTGTCACATTATACGGTCACGAAAGATACCGTCCTCTACAACAGTTTGCACTCATTTTCTTAAAAAAAGCGTTAGAAAAATATGAACAACAAGCTACGGTTACGTAAAGTAACCGGATCAGCCCCGAATTTCGTCTACAAAAATTCAGGACGCGAGAACAGCGTAAATTATCCGTATCAAGCCAATCAGTGCTTGGATAATAAGGAGGTATGTTGAAAAAAGGATCGTGCGGTAAAGATGTCGTGCTAGTGTAAACATGTCAATGTAACGGGCACGTGTCGATATACGGCCGCGTCAATGTGCCGGCCCTTCTTATTGTCACCCCGCTTCAGTGTTTTTCCTCCGACCATCATACCTTAAGCATTCGTTTCAACCATTGGTCGTAAATGTGATCATAGCAGTGGCCAGTTGCCATGCATCAGAAAAATGCCGCGATACTGTTTGTGTTTTTTTATTTGTGTTGGCTGTTGGCTTTATAAGACGTTTTTCGGAGTTCGGCTTTAAAAATAATAGCTCTTAGACTCAAATTACTTGATGGGGAGGCCCGGTTGACTAGCCCTGTGTTAGAGGATAGAACCCTCTCGTAATTCCGCATTAGCTTGATTGACACCACAATGAAAATATACTTTGCATCACCTTGTATAAATTTCTGTCTCATTTTGTTGAACACATTTTTGCTAGTTACTATAAAATTGTGACCCTTCCTTCCGTTTCGCACTGTTCTGTATGCGCTGTCGTGGCGCGCCGGCCTCTCTGACCCGTGTACTGCCGTGACCCGCCTGACGCCCGCCGTGTCTGCCTGTCCCCACAGCTGGAGCAGCTCGACCTGTCGGACTTTCTGGGCGAGAACGACCTGCTGCCGTCGGCGCTGTCGACGCCGGCGGTGAGCCCGGCGCCGCCGCTGACGCCGCCGCTGGCCGACGGTCTGCTCTCGCCTGCCCACTCGCCGTGCAGCGGCGGCGGCTCGGCACCGTCCCCGGACCCCACTCAGCAGCAGCAGCTGCACCAGCTGCAGCACGCCCAGCTGCAGCAGCAGGAGCAGCAGCAGCAGCAGCAGCAGCAGCAGCAGCAACAGCAACAACAACAGCAGCAGCAGCAGCAGCAGCAGCAGCAGCAGCCGCAGCAGCAACAGGAGCAGCCACAGCAGCAGCAGACCAGCCGTGGTGAGAAAGAAAGTCAGTAGTTTCAGGTACAAATATCTTTAGGGTTCTACTGTACTATAATACATTCTCATCAGATACCGTACAGACCAAAGTCGACGTTAGTCCGATAAGGTCCTCGACACTCTGCTTTTGGGATTTAGTTAGTTTTGTATTGCCGATTTATTGGACCTGTTGGGTCATCAACCAAGGGTCTGTCCCCAACCAACCCGACTGACTGGCCTCATGTGATGCCCTGCTCAGTCGCCAGCCGGCAGCGGCTAGGAGTGGTCCCACTCCCGGCGCACCCGACCCTCTCTCCCGCTGACCTGACCCGATGTCTCCCCCCTCTCTCCCGCTGACCTGACCCGATGTCTCCCCCCTCTCTCCCGCTGACCTGACCCGATGTCTCCCCCCCCCTCCCCGCGGCGGCAGGTGGCGAACAGAAGCCCCGCCGTGAGCGCTCCGCCCGGACGCCGCGCGTGCCCGTCAAGTTCCGCGTGTCGCCGGCCGACCTGGCACTGGCCTCGGCGCCCGGCGTCCAGTTCGACCCGCAGACCAGACAGTTCTCCGATGACGAGCTCAAGCCGCAGCCCATGTGCAAGAAGTCCAAGAAACAGGTGCGTCACCCGTCCCGTCATTTCCATCCTCAGGACAGTCAAATCCTTCTCCTCCATGCCGCAACCCCGATCCGGGCTGGACAGACAACTTTATCCCATGCTGGCAGCTTCCATTGGAGCGCACCGCGACTCTTTAGAGAGGACACCCGTAGCCGGGTGCAGCAGGGTTGTGCTTGACTCATGAGTCGAGTCAGAAATTTGACTCAACTCTGACTCAAATGAGTCAGATTTGAGTCGAGTCGGATAGAATGTTGAGCTGTTGAGTTGAGTCAGAGTTGAGTCGGACAAAAAAATTAAGGTGTTGAGTTGAGTCAGAGTTGAGTCAGTAAAATAACTTTTGACATTGAGTTGAGTCAAGAACATTTAGGAACATGAGTCAGCTGACTCAACTTTTTAGAAACAATATATAGTATAAGTTTTCATTCTCCCCCCGCTTAACAACTTAGGCCTGGCCCTGCTGCCGGATATTTTCACCCCCCCCCCCCGCTCAACAACTTTTTTATCTGAGTCAATTTTGAGTCAACACACTTGACTCAACAAAAAATTTGAGTCAAGTTTGAGTCAACTCATATTTTCATTGAGCCGCTTGAGTCATGAGTCGAGTCAAGGGAAAAAATCAGCCCCTTGTTTGAGTCAGAGTTGAGTCAGGGCATTCTGAAGTTGAATGATGAGTCGAGTCGGCAAATTTTTTTGAGTCGAGCACAACCCTGGGGTGCAGTGAGTGCTTGGGGACTGGTCGGCCTGTCTGATTGGATGGGACTGACGACTGACGGTCCCGGTGACTTACTTGGGTGCCTGCCTAGACCAATGTCTCCCCCTAATTCCTATCATCCTCCCGGCTCTGCAATGGTATCAATGGACCGAAAGGGCCTACCCCCCCCCCCCCCGAAAAAGGTGCGTGCGGAGATCACACTTCATTCGGCTGGTCTGTAGTTGTGGTATACCGATTTTTTGTTCGTTTGTTGCTGAGCCGTTTTTGGTTGGTATGGGATATAAGCATGGTCATTGATCGTGTTACATCATTACAGTTAATGAGTGCCTTGGACGTCGAAAGGGTGCATAAAAGGCAGTCGCATATTGCGTGTGGGAATATGATCTTATGCTGTCCTTCATCATTTCCACATCTTTCCCGTACGAATGACCTATTTATAATGCAGCAAATGTGGACGTTCTGCGAGCCGATGGCTGAACAGCGAACTCTGCTCTGTGTTTACAAACTGACGATCCTTCCTTCCGTGCAGGTGGTTCCGGACGAGGCCAAAGACCAGAAGTACTGGACGCGCCGCGAGAGGAACAACTACGCGGCCAAGCGGTCGCGCGAGGCACGCCGCCTCAAGGAGAATCAGATCGTGCTGCGCGCCAACTTCCTGGAGAAGGAGGTGAGAGCGGGCGGCTCAGGGACTGGCCGCAACCGGCTCGGCACTGACCGGGGCCGGCTCGGCACTGGCCGGGAGGTGATGAGGACAGATAGATGGGACTTGCATAGTCCGCGATCCTGGAGTCGCGGACATGTCGTGAATAAAATGTCGGATGCTGGTTTACTACCATTAAATGCAAGGTCAACACGTTCATCTATTTTTTATTGTTTTCTGGAATGACGACTGTTAATGGCCACGAGGACCCTTAGCCATAAACATCCACAAAAAACGTTTGGCAAATTGTCTCGGGTCGTCAACAAAATGACCGTATCATAGTCATTCTTGTTTTATTAGTTGAGTCCATGCTTACTTGGCGTATTATTGAGATTCCGCTGCAGCATTGTATCATCCAGTTAACGACGGTCGTTCTCATGCATCCGTGCCATCGATTCGCCTGGTATAATGGCTACATTATTCATACATTCCAAGCACCATTCTTGGAAAAAAATAGTGTTCTGAAAATTGTTGAAATTTGCAACATTTTCTTAAACCTAAAAGCTGACAAGCTACGTTATCGTTGATGAATCCCAGTTCATTTAGTAGTGTTCTTGCAGCCTGTCGCATTTATGTCAGATGTAATACATCTCGTTAGCGAGTCGTCCCTGCGCCGGCTCGGTGACTCTGACTCAGCGTAGGATCGGGTCGGGCGGCTGCCGTGAGTCCAAGACACGCTGTTTGTTTGTCTTGCATAGTCTCCTAACGAACCGGCAAAGACACGCTGTTTTTTTTTGTCTTGCATAGTCTCCTAACGAACCAGCGTTTCTAAACAAATCAACAACTACATATATTTTAAGTACAAATTGTTAGTGGTCTGACGAGACTAGCGGTGCTGCCTTTTTGTGTCTGTGGAAATTCACAATGTGTGGTTAGGGAGCGCGAGGCGCGGGCGGCCGTTCTTGCGGTCTGGTCAACACATGCTCAGTAAATGGCACACCGCCGGACACCGCTGCCGCAGAGCTAACGACGTCGGTCACGCCAGCCGCGCAGGCGGCGCGGATCGTTTTGCGTGCTGTGTGATGGCTATTGACAGGCGGAACTGTCGTTTGCGTGCGCGCGGGCATCTCTTGAATGTCGCGCGTTGACAAATGATGTCTTCAGTGACTGTGCTATCCATTACACAGGACAGTGAATAATGCCAATTAAGATACCGTTTTTGGGAAAATGAAATTCTGGTATCAAGCGGTTTGTTGTTCATATCACTTTACAGTATTATGTACAGGGACCCGCAGTTGCTTCTGTACACACTAGTATTTCAGCGTATTCTTTGCCTGTGACACCGTTGGAGGCGAATTGGGAAATTATTGTGTGCTTATTAAAACCACCATCTGAAGGGCTTTAAAATGATGTGCTGCTCTCCTAATTCAGTGAACTTTTAATGGCTATATCAGCAAAACATTGTTTTCAGCGCATTTTCCTGCCCCATTCCTTCTGAAACCTGGAACCGCTTATTCCATTTACTCCTGCCATCTGACGATGGTCGTGCTGACTACTAGTTCCGGCGCTAGTTACTGCTCCAGTTTTGCACCCGGCACAAACTCAGGCGGCACCGGGCCGTGGCTCGACCAGGGGAGGGTCGGACCGAGCCGACTGCCTGGGGCGCGGTTAGATCGGACGCCCTGCTGGGGAAGGGGACGGGAGTGAGGGGAGGGGAGGAGGTGGTCACGTGGTCCGTCCAAGCTCGCAGACGGCCTGTCCTGCGCCCAGCCATGTTCCGTGATCCAAAATGGCACGAGAGCTGTGGAATGCCTGGAGGAGACGCTTCGAAAGCGAACTTCAGCAGCACTAATTTACCATATTCTGTGGAGATAAATGAATATTATCTTAACCCTCGCATGTGTAGGGGGGGGGGGGTCGGATGGACCCCCCCATGGTTTTTCGCGAATAACTCGCGTAAAAAGCGGCCGATCGCGACGAAACTTTCAGTACCCTCGCATTGATCAATTTTACACCTACCCTGAAAATTTCATGACCCTGACCCAAATGACCTTTGACCTGTGACCTCTTTTCCGAGACCATGTTTGGCCGGAATCGCGATTTCGCGTATATCGGCTGGCACTAGCCGCGTGTTTGCAAGCTTTTCGTGGTTTCAAACGTTCAAACATGTGATTTGATGTTACTCCCGTGTGTGTCAAGGTCACCTGAAGGTCAGGTCAGGTCATTGACCTTTGGTGACCTCGGGTGACCTCGGGTCACTTTTTCGAGTTTTACATGTTTCTAGGCTAGTTTTTGGAGCTGAATTCGAATTTAGCAACCATTTGAACATTTACGAAGTAGTTTTGGTGACTTCGTAACATGTTACGAAGCTGTCAGAGGCGGTTGACACGTATTACGAATACCCGTCACGACGCCTACTGGATGACCTGACCTGACCTGACCCGACCTGGTCTAAATGCTTCAAGACATCATCTGTGATCAAAACTAACACGATATTCGTGATCAGCACCCCGAAAAAAACCATTAGCAGCCACACTTTACGACTTTCTAACAGGTCCCGATTTTCCCGACTTTGGGTCATTGACCTGACCTGGAAGGTCAACCAATGACCTAGGACCTTAAAATTGGGTATCATCGGCTTCCTCTCGTCACGGGCAACACGCTCGTTTTTTCCGCGAAGCTCTAGCTCGATCAGGGGCCAAACGGCAAGGGGGTGGGGTCCAACCGACCCCCCCCCCCCTACACATTAGAAGCTGGCAAACGCCGCACACATGCGAGGGTTAATGCAGAAAAAAATGTATGCCCAAGCTGTATAGGCTGTATCTTTTTAAAAGTTGTAAATAGGACTATTCTTGGGACAATTATAGGTTTCGTATACACAGTGAATTGTGTTACATTGAGCCGTTTCGCTGTTATGGTTACTAACTGAAGAGTTATCCTTTTTTCTCACAGGGAATGACAATACAATAACAATACGAATAAAACCAGACGTTTCGCACAAAAAAGTGCCTCCGTCAGTGGCAAGAAATAAGTAATTAGGCATACATGTTTTCTTTCGCTAAAATCGATGAAGAAGTTATCTTTATTTTTTAAATCTTTTTAGCAGTCTTTTAAGCGCACCATGGAAGCTTATAAACATTTGTGTATTTTATCGGCAACCCGGCTGGCCAGACCGAGACGGTGCCGCATATAGTTCTCATCGATGTTAAACCTATACACTTATTTTTCTCCAATATTGTCATTGTCCGTGAGAAAAACATACTCTTATGGACTGGTCTCAGTTCATGTAGAAATTGTTGCATATTCATCAACATAGATAAAATGAATATTAGCCCTCACCACACATATAAGTAGATGTAAGTAGACCGCGCCCCCTGTTTTTCACCAATAAATCGCGGCAAAGCGAGAGATTGCGATGATTCTTTGGTGCCCTGGAGTTAATCAATTTTACAACTTTTCAGAAAATTAAATAGCCCTTATTATTTGTCCATCTTGTCTGAGAATTTTAAATCTTTGAACCAAATTACCTTTAACACTCGCCCGTAAACGGTGTTTTGCCACCTTCGCCCATGCAGGGGGGGGGGGGGGGGTTGGTGTGACCCCCCCTGGCGTTTGAAAATGGAGCATGGAGCGTCGTAGAGCTTAGCGGAAAAGACCAACGGATTGCTCTCAACGAGATCTCGCGATTGGTGGTATATTTTTTGGTCCTAGGTCAACATTTGACCTACTTATGACCGGTCAAAGGTCAAATTTTCGGAAAAATCTAACTTTCATATTTTCGCGCCGATTGCGGCAAAACGGTAAGAGGTATCGACTTGAAACTTTCACTATCGTGATTCTTGATCAATTCTCTATCGTTTGGTGTGTATTTCGATGTCATAACTCTAAAAATGTTGCATTGGGAGCATCCAGTAACCTAGGATCTCAGCATTGACCGGGACATAAAAATAATTGGCTTTCTCTCGTCAGCGATGACCAGGACCCTCAAATCATCGGATTTCTCTCGTCACGAGCAGCTCGCTCTTTTTTATTTTTCAGCGAAGCTCTGGCTATTTTTATCAAGGGCCGAATGGCTGAGGGTTTCTACGCCCCTCCGCTACATGTAAGACGCTGAAAAGAAATGCCTAAGTGGGTGAGGGTTAAATATCGATTGGTTTTTAAGTGCCGAAGCCCGAAACACTTTAATTTACTTCGATAGCAGTTTTTAAGACCAACGAGCTCAAATACTATAACTTCTTGAACAATGTAAGCACCACATAAAATGAATCGTAAGAGAAGCGGCTCAAGATTTTAAGGAGCTATGAGACACTTAATAAAAAACGGCATAGATTAGAAACTGCACCTAACTTGCACTGATTTTTAAACCTTTTCGTTGCAGACTGGTAGATTAAATTTTAGGATTGATTTCAGCTGATGCTCAAATGGAGCTATTCATTCGTTCATTGAATGCGACCATCCAATTCCATTCATAAAAGAAGCCAGTGACAAAATTGTTCATTTTAGATAAGTGTGAACTGAAATACAAACTCAATAAAAGTTTAACCCTCGCCCGTAAACGGCGATCTGCCACCTTCGCCCATGCAGGGGGGGGGGGTTGGTGCGACCCCCCCCTTGGCGTTTGAAAACGGAGCGTCGTAGAGCTTAGCGGAAAAGACCAACGGATTGCTCTCGCCGAGATCTCGCGATTGGTGGTATATTTTTTGGTCCTAGGTCAACATTTGACCTACTTTTGACCGGTCAAAGGTCACATTTTCGGAAAAATAGACATTTTTAAATTTTCCGCGGCGATTGCGGCAAAACGGTGGGAGATATCGACTTGAAACCTTCACTATCGTGTTCCTTGATCAATTCTCTATCGTTTGGTATGTATTTCGTTTTCCTAGCTCTAAAATTGGCGCGTTGGGAGCGCCGGAAGTCGGCAAGGTCACAGTCGGCGGCAGAAATTCGAAAAATCAAAATTTAAATTTTTGAAATCTGATTGTATTTTTGGATTTGGGATGTCCATTTGCTCCCTATAGAAGCTAATATTGCTGCATATTCCCATTGAGGTGACAAGAATTAGCAAAATAGTGGTTCGGGCGCTTTTCAAAAATAGTACCGGACGCTGTTCCTCTTGTGACGTCATAGCTCCGTGACCTGACCTGACCCGGTCAAGTTTCTTATACCATATGATAGCCAATACTTGCCCCAACATGCATGGGAAGTTTCATCACGATCCATCAACCGATGTCCGTACCACCGGCAGGAAACCTCGGGCGTTGGCACTCAGTTTGTGAAAATCCGGCCGGAGGCTGTTCCCTTTGTGACGTCATAACTCCGTGACCTGACATGACCCGGTCAAATTTTTTTCATCAAAAGATGCGCAAGGTTTGCCCCATAAGGTACCCAAAATTTGGCGGCGCTGCGCGCCGCCGTTTTTGCACTATTTCCGAAAAACCTCAGGGGGGGTTGCACCAACCCCCCCCCCCCCTACATGGGCGAGGGTTAATGATACGGCAAATTTGACAGCTTTTATAATGAACAGACAAAAAACTTTAACAAATCAAAGTTGAGAGCCCCAAATAGGGGAGAGTGAGGTAAGATGAGTCAAGGGGCAAGTTTAGCCACCCCATGTTTCTCAGCTCCTATGGCGCCAATTGACTTGAGCTTCCATGTGCCGTTCGCTTACGATGCTGCAGTCTTTCACGTGAGACGGCAACGTTCTCACGCTCAGCACCCGGTAACATGTGGTATCGCCCCTGATAACTAAGACATGTTTTGCCTTTAAAATGAGATGGTTGTTATCTGCGGTGCATGGTTATTTTCCTTAGCGAGTGTCATTAATCGAAAATGGCCACGGGTGGGGCAAGACGAGCCATTTTCACCTGGGGGAAGATGAGCCGGGTAAGCCATTGTTGTCTCCGCTGTCGAAAACCAAACTGAGCTGCGCTTGTTTCTGCTGAATAAAAATGGTAGGAAATTGTTTTTCTTTATTGATTACACAAGTTGTAAGTGATTTGCAGATTATCTGAAGGATAAAATGATTTATTCCGTGATAGAAAACTTGACGAGCTATTGGAAGGCTTAAAACAATCACTTTTTGATGGAGGAAAAAACTTTGCCATAAGTATCTATGCCATGGAGTAAATAAAAGAGCCCACTCTTCGCCGCGCCCGCGAAAAGAAAATGTTCGCTTTTCTATCCATGCTCAACTTTCCCCACGACGTGTCTCAACTTACCCCGCCCATGGGGTAAGATGAGCAACGTGCAAGATGATTTTTGACGTAGCCTTTTCAGTACAAAAATAAGCAGTATGAAACATTTCTGGCCACCATTACATGCGCAAATCACCACTCTGTCCGTCCAACCCGTAAACGCAGAAAAATGATCAGTAGCTTACGAAAAACAAAAAGCGGCTCAACTTACCTCATTCTCCCCTACGTAACATAATTGAGGGCATTTTTTAGGCCATCACAGTATTTGTCAACAATTGCTGTTTGGGGGACTGGGGAGGGTGGTTACTGGCTCATAATCTGTCCCCCCCCCCCCTCCAAAAAAAGAAGAAAGCCACGAAACCGATCATCCGCGAAAAGAACTATTGAGCTCGAACCAAGGTGACGAATCGATTTATAGGTATGCAGGATGACTAACGATGCCACTTTTTGACTTCTTGTGTCAAATAAATTCCATCATCTGGATAGCACGTCAACATTCTATTTGACGTTTTGCAACAAACGTATACTATTTGGCGCGACTAGCCTCATAAATGTTCTGAAACTAAAACCGTTTCTTCGCAATTAACTTGAACCACGTCATCCCAGCTTATGCACGACAAAAATAAAATAATGCTTCAGGATCACATTCCAATGCTTAAAGTTTACTCAAAACCGGTGTGGCTGAGGCACTCTTCGCCACATCTCGTGACGGCCACTATTGTGTTGCATTTTTCGGTAAGCTATTAGTTAATAAGGAAAGGATTGGTGAGTGGGTTGAAAACAGCCCTCACCCTCCACCCCCCCCCTTCTTCAACATAAGCAACCGAAAGATCTGGCGATGGTTTATCCACCTCCTCTGCCGCCGCGCTGCGAGGCCTCGATTCGTTTGGAATGTGGCTTCCTGAGCGGTCCTCCCCGGAGGCAAGGTGAAAGGTCATGGCCTGTATCATAAATTTATACGTTGCTGAATATGTTTTATAGTTCTTCCAAGGCCTTGGACACCGTTTTATTATATCGGATAAGCATTGCACTTTCTTGTCAATCAATACATCTAAAGAAAACTTGATCATAATCTTATACTGCGGCAATTGTAGTTCTGCTTACGGTTGCCTCTTTATGATACGGGCCACCACCACCTCCACTGCGCTGGAGCTCTGGCGTTCTACCCCTCCCCGCTACGGACCGGCCCTCGGGCTAGGTGTGTTAGTACTGAGCGCAAACCTGTAGTAGTCACGTGACTTTCATTCACGTAGCGGGAACGGAAGCTATAGGCGTTACCAAGGACGGGCTCTGGGGAGGCAACCGGCGCGGAAAAATAGCACGATTGTAGTTTTGGAAGAATATCTGTTGCGGTAAGAGGAATTATACAAAACAAACGTCCTAGGAGCAAACATGTGTTATTCCTCCATACTTTGCGCTACATTTCATTTCTCCAATGGCCAGCACTTAGCAAATAATAGCGCAATTCTAAATTGGTAATATATGTGTACAGTAGCAACTGCGGGTCCCTGTACACTGCCTAAATTTTCCTTTTCCATTTGTCGAGGAGCCAGTTTTACCATTTTCATGCCTTTTAGGCCCTGTAACTGTTGAGTTGTGTTTGGCTGCGCGATAATAATTCTTTCAAGATCTTGTTTTTCAATTAATTTTGATGGTGGGAGGCACGCAATGCTCGCTCCCACGACCGTCGAATCTGATGTAAATCATGCGGACATCAAAATGCATAAAAAGTGCGAATGATTCATTTGGCCTTTGGCCAAATGCTTCGAGAAAGCATCCATCGTTGCTTAGAACTGAAATTAAGGCACACTTATGTTATCATACTTCGTTAAAAGCGCTGTTCATTTCATTTGGTCGAGGCTCTAATTTTCACCTTGGCGTGATAGCGGTGAGTTCTGGCTTAACTCTTTGTTTTGCTTCATTGCTTTTGTAATGCTACCAAAGGTGCTCTATAAAATAGAAAATCAGGACCGATAGAGCGCACAGAGGCGCACATTGTGACGGTTATTTCAGTCTCGGGCGATTGTGACGCAGCATTTTACTGTTTACAGAACGTGGCCCTGCGCGAGTCCATCGAGGAGATAACGCGTGAGAACGAGCGTCTGAAGGAGCGGCTCAGCTCCTGTACCTGTCGCTAGAGGGCAGCTCCGGGCGGCGCCCGGGCAGGCGTGGCACACCCGGTGTACCCGCCCGGCCGCGGCAGGGCACGGCGCGCCCGCTGTACGCGCCGCCTGTTTTGTCACAGCGCTGGCGCGGCGCTGTGCTGTGTTTTGTCGGCTATGGTACAAAAAGCGAGTACGGGCGCTCGGTGGCGAGCCGGAGAGGGCGAGCGAGCGAGCGCGGCCGGTCTGAGAGTGCGGATGTGATGCGGGGCGGCGCGGCCGGTCGGCCCGCCGCCGTGATAGCGGGTACGCTGAGCTGCTGATGTGATGAGAGAGACGCCGGCCGGTGTGACTGGGTGCTAGTTGTCCGTGTAGACGTTAGGTTAGGGCGCCAGCCGCGGGCAGCCGCTGGTCTGCAGGACGAGAAGCTATCTCTATCCACTTTCCCCCTTTTATGACGTTTAGCCGGTAGTGTGTACCCTCCCCTGCTTAGGTGTTAAGTTTAGTGTTAAGTGCTGGTTGTTGTGGCTTCTGTGGGCCTGCGTAATCTCCGCGGCTGGCTTTGCAGCGTCACCGGCTCCGCCGAACGGCTGCTCTACATGTCATAACGTCGGTGTCTGGTGTCCGCGTTTATCCGAAATAAGGAGAGAGAAACTATCGCCGAACCTGGTCAACGGACGCGGCGACTCCACATGGTGCTCGGGTGTGATACATAATGGTTTGTAACCCGATAACATATATATATTTGGCGCTCAACAGTAGACAGGTAATCGATATTGACACTATATATGTCAAATATATTTTCGGCACTGAACCACACGACTTGTTTGGATCGATCGTGGGCTGTACAGCACTAGACGTGAGAAGATACACATGTAGCAGTTATACTGAAAGCAAGGCTGCACGCTCCGTACCATCGCTGGATGTAGGGTATATCACAGCAGTAGGGTTATCCAAAAGCATAATCAGTGGAATGTCACCCACACAATATCTAACTAGGGCGGTGTTTCACGGCCGCTAGTAGTGCGCTGCCAGCAGGCTGACTACATGTTCTATAGCCTTGGACTACATAGGATCCGGTTCAGTCTATCACGTTGGAGGGTCCGAGTTTGTCAACGTCTCCATGGAAACCCAATTTGACACGTGTGCTTGGCCGTGAAACACCGCCCAGACTACACCAAAGCTCCGTCAGATGAGTGTGAGGGAAGCGTCCACCGCCACCGGTCTCTGAACCGACAGGACCGGCTCTGCCCGGTGACCCGGGTCACTGTGTCAGCCCGTCGCCTCCGGCCGAGGTCAGGGTCTCATTGAGCGCGCACTCGTCCCTGAACTGTTTGAGCACCGTCTGGTAGGTGCGGGAGAGAGCCCGCAGCTGATCCAGCTCCGCCATCAGCGCGTCCAGCGTGCGCTTCTCCGCCTGCTTCTTCACCAGAACCTGCCGAACGGGCAGACACAGGGGCTGTAACGAGCACGATAGCGCCGCTTATATACACGGGGATAAGCAGCGAGCGGAGGACACAGCAGGCGATTATGTAATGGTGGTTATAGCTTCATAGGGTTCACGGACGAGAGGACTGGAGGCGATTTGCGTCTCTGGTATTGAACTATATTTAGATCCGCTGGTATGGACAATAAACAAGGAACGGTCAGTTACCAAATGGGACCTAGTGACTTATGTGCCAGTCATTGGAATGACTCGTGACTTATTCTCGACACAAATTGAGACAGACACAGAGTTCTGACAGGCAGCGTGCAGTGTGCACACAACACAATATGTACGTACAGCGGATCAGCATTCAGCATTGGGGTTTTTGGGCGCCCGGACTACAGTGGTCATCAGCGGCGGATCAGCATAGCTTGCACACACCGCACAGCGCGATTTCCATCGACATACCACGCCATTGCCGTTCCAATGATACCATGTTTGAGGCAGTACGTGTGTACGGAAGAGGCACTGCAACTCTGTATGCTGAATACGTGAAACCTGACTGCGAAAACAATGCAAAATAATATAACTGTAACTACCAATGGGCGGGTTTATTGTAACGTGCACGCTCGCACATTTGAATAGCAAATGTTCAAACTGTACACAGCTGAATAGTTTTGCACGACGCTGTACTAAAGCGACCCTAACGCGCAGTATGATGGAGCAGGATGTAGAACTAGGCCCTCATTTCCACATTGTCCAGCAAATGACCGAGACTGCAGTCCCCCAATTTTTCAACTGAGGTAGGCATACCCCGTGGACACTGTTTGCCACATCATCGAGACACGAAATGCTGTTCTCAGTGGTCGTAACACGCGAAGTACGACCTTCATATAATGATATAGTAGATCAAATCTGGCTGATAAGATCATAAAACATCTTCTACGTAAACAACCCAAAGCTTAAAATGTATAAAATATATGCAGTGAACAGTTCACAGTTAGGTACACCATGAATTACAATAGGGTGGTGTGATTTATTTTATTGTTACAGAGCTGGCATCCGTGGCTTCTTATGAAGCAGCAAAATAAAAGTGAATTCACCACACTAGGCATGGAACTGTCCGTTACGCCCTTATGAAGAAGCCTGAGTCACACCATTCTGTCGATAACTAATAGATCGTTCCCTAGTCAAATATGAGCGTCCATATCAAGGGTGGATAGAAGAAGGGCCCATGTGGAGTTCAAACCGTAACGCTACAACGGGGTTATCATGGAAGCAAGACTCCAGCTGCAGTTGGTCCCTAACTACCGGAATAAGGGAGGCGTTCAGAGTCGGCACATATCGACAGCATCGGAACCCGCGTCAGGTGGTAGCCAGGAACCGAACAAACACGCCCAAACGACAGGTAACTAGCATGGATAAATGAAAAAGGACATGAATAAATACACTTATGACAGCTCAGCCTGCACAGGAAACCACGATATCTGTCCTTCCATCGAAACAAGCCTTACATAATATCAAAGGTGAAAACCGAACAATATGAATGTTCCATGCAAGGCCGTCTCTGACGCAAGCTATCGGTAACACGAACAATAGTCAATATTTCTTTGGCGGACATTATCATAATCCGATTACGTTTATTCTCTTTCATCATCAATACCTGCTTGCATCGAGAATCAAGCAAACGTCAAACCATGACAAGCAGATAAGGAAATGATGGCATTGGACATGGCGCAAAGAGCCTTATCGCACAGAATAAGCGAATGTGTCACGGAAATGTTGTCCAGCCGCGAATCCTGAATTTTCTTCTCCCGAGTAAGGCAACATCGTGGAAATCATTGCGCTTTCTCAAACACCCTGTTCTCATGGAACGTTGAAATGGGACAACCAATTACAGCTAGGTCTTTACCTATGTTACGTGACCTTTCATCTTTGCTTAAAAATAAATATGTACTTCAGTAGAATCCGCTTAATAAATCCACCTTGGTGAAACGGCGTTTTGGATTTATTAAAGGGACCCTCCCACCTTCAAAAAAGTTAATGAATTGGCATGAAAGTGATGTCGCTCGGTTCAGAAAGAGCAAAAACGAATATCTACCAAATTTCATCGAAAAATATTCATCGGTTTTCAAGATATTAGACTTTTACTTTTGTTTACTTTTTGGGATCTCCGCTGTTCCTAGCGACTTTATTTGAAAGTGCGGCATTTGTTACGCGCAAAGCAGCATATACCACCGCGTGCTACAAAACGTTTTAGTCAAACATTTAACGGACGTTCGAAAGCCTGATGACGTCATCAGATTCCCGTAATGGTTAAGAGATAGGGACCACGCTGGTCCCACCCTGCAAGTAAAGGGAAGAAATTTCTTGAACACCATAAAGCTGCGGGGGTTGCGACCAGGATAAATGGTGGTTTCTGAGCCTGGCCGCAAACTTGGCTATCTCAACTCAAAACTAATGTTAAGGTGGGAGGGTCCCTTTAAAGGGACTATCCCACCTTTAACATGGGGTTTGAGTTGAGATAGCCAAGTTAGCGGCGAGGTTCAGAAACCACTATCTATCTAGGTTGCAACCCCCGCGGCCTCTTGGTGTTGAAGAAATTCGTTCCCTTCATTTGAAAATGGGCCTTGCGCAAGGCCCTGTCTTCAACATGGAGCGACCGTTAGTGTGACGTCACCTCGTTTAGTCATTCTGATTTAAATGGGTTTGTTCGTTGAAAAATCGCTTAAAACTTGGTCTGAACTTTGTTGTGGTGCCTACAGAGTAAAAAGAATCAGCTTTATGACAGTAATGTGGCCTGGGGCAGGAGGTAATTTTGGGCTGTGACGTCACATATTTGAAAGTTTGTGTTTGGATTATGGGAAGCCTAAGATGTTTAATGAAAAATAAATGCCAGAACCGTGTTCCTGGTCATCCAATCTATAAAGTCGGAAATTCTCAGTAGGTAAAATGATATGGGCACCCGAGTGTAAAAGTGCTTCACGATACTGGTGACCTCGATGATGATGATGATGATGATGATGATGATGATGATGATGATGATGATGATGATGATGATGATGATGATGATGATGATGATGATGATGATGATGATGATGAATTGGGGTTTGTGGGCGCCCGGACTACAGTGGTCATCGGCGCCCATACTGGTGACCTGACCTCAACGCAGGACGAATTCATATGATAACTGTACGTCACTTGGCTCGTCATTTTTCATGCATTATAAGCGTAAAACATGAATATTTGAAATGAAGTAAGGTTATGTCACCATGCATCTCTGACTAACGCCACCTAGCCCATGAGGAGGGTGGATGGGCATGCTGAGTGCTGATCAGATCCTGGCTGTGTAGTGCACTGAGCCAGTGCCAGTGTCAGTTGCACTGGGCTGATTGGAAGCAGCACATCCATAATCCAATCAAATAGCATGTCACTTATTAGTACTTCTTCAGGAAAAGTCGTAAGCGTGTCCACTGTCTTACCCACATATTTATGTTGCGTGACGTAGAAGTAACTCAGCCTCAAGATAGGTAATATTCGTGACATATCTTTTCCATCAACATCTTGAATCATGATAATTGACACACGTCGATTTTATCCTGACATTTTATTGTAAATACATATTCTGCAAATGATAAAAGCTCGGCTGGCAGGAGCCAACGACAAGCTGTATCTTAATTGACCTTCCGGCTGCACACGGCATGGCAACAGAGGTATCAGACTTGAGCACTGAGATGGCAGGGGTAGGGAGAGGACGGGAGGGCGGGACCGGGATCGCTCCTCATCCCTCTCCCCAAGTTCCGTCTGCCAATCACTCGCCCCCTCAATATGAAGTCGGCATTCACGTACCTGCCCTATCATGCCATCCAAGTCGGAAAGATAAATGAAAATGCAGCGGATGATTTATGGTGATATGACCTTCAACAAGAGCGGACACATTGGAACGATATGGCCAGTAAGTAGTAACTATGATTTATTGCAGCACTGAACATATGAATAACTTAATGTCAGAGTCAGAGATGTGCTAGAAGATGTACCTAAGTTTGACATCTTTTGACGTGAAAACTTGACGAAATACTATTTTCATCTTCTATGAGGAACATCAGTCCCATGCCGACCTGTCTACCCCAGCTCGCAGTCCGCGGATCCCCAGCGCCCCCCGCACTCCGCGGGGTATTTGGGCACGCGAGCTGCCGGTCGGTGGGCGGGGCCCGCCGGCCGGCCGTCCGACCACCCATCCATCACACCTGTCAGCGCGACCAGGGGTAGCGGCGCATTCAGCCCAGCTCAGCCCAGCCCGGTGATAGCGCCACAGGCTGGTGCTGCCGTCGGTAACGGCCAGGGACGCAGCGCCGACCACCAGCGCTGTCAGAGAATGGAATCCTCACTGGTGGAGAGCCAAGTGACAGAACAATGGTTTCAGAGAGACAAGGCGCCATGACTTCTTTCTCATATCGCTGCAAAACCAATAAATGGCTTTCGGATTATCGCTTGTATCCAAGTGGCCGCTCAGGCACGGTAGCCCGGAGCACACCGATAGGTCGACCTGAGGTTGTGTTTGTCAAGAGGGCGGGCCGGTCTGAGAACCAGTCAGGTGCGTCGCGTGACAATCAACCGCACCAGCGACGTGTCACTTACCGGGCGTACACATACACAAACAACAGAGACGGGCCCCCGATACCGATACACCCGGGCCGAGCCCCGTACCCGGTGACCTGAGCAACGGTGACCGTGTGATTCCCGGAGCCGGCACGAGCGCCGACAGCCGCCGACGGGCCGGCTTTGGGCGTTACACCGTCCACCTGCATAGTCGCCGTGATTTACGGCTCTGTCTTCCAGACTGTGGTCGGTGGTATCCAAAACAAACGGGCAATCTTAGTCATACAGCCAGTCGCGAGTCCGGCTGCACACCAACATCCACGTGCGATCTTGCTAATGGCACGGCTATTTTCGGCGAATGTGACGGGCGGATGTAAAATGTTCTCAGGATGGTCGTATCAGTACTGAGCGTCGGATGGACACACCCGCCAGCATTACCGGGTGGAAGTCGAAATGGAGGCGGGAGCGAGAGCAACCACCGCGCGCGCCCGTCCCTATATACACGGCACTGGGGGTGAGGAACCAACCTCTCCGTAGTGCGTGGACTATGCGCATCATCACCTGGCAGATCCTGTGTACCGGCGGTCGATCCCGGTCCGCTGTGGACACGGAGGCCCAGGCGAGCTGGACCGGGAGGCCCCAGTCTATTTCAGGACAACCTACTGACGTCTGATAAATCATCAAGGCTGTCTGTCGCTCTATGACTGAAGTATTGCGCCGCCTCAAAACTCGACAGCGTCTCCAAACCGATCATGAAAGTCTGAACATCGATTACTGTGCTCACGGAGTCGCGTGACATATTGGTCAACGTGCATCAACTGCGGGCAGGTCATTGGACACCTTCGCATAGCTTCCCGAACAGCGGCGGTCGGCCCTTTGGAGTCGCGGCCGTCTGTGGTCTTTTGAGACGAATTCCTTTGATGTTTAAAAGACGGAGACCGCATACTGAAAGTCATAGACTAATTAATGGTTGCCTAGGAGTCGGCTGACTGTAAGGCGATGCCCTGGGAGACGCCTCGCTCGGAGGACCTAAGTGGTTTGCGACTGTTGGCATGAATAAGGTGTGCAGGAGAAATTCAGCTGGCATGCGGACGCGATAGTACATCAATTATCAAACTATCCTTTTCACACATCACCTCATGTCTTTCACAACCCATATTGCTGTCCCCTCTAAGAAATAAACCGATTATCAAAGTCTCCGCCCACCCGATCCCCCACCTCAACCACCCCTCGGTGGCCGCGGCGGACAGGCGCACCTTGTTCTGGTTGGAGCGGACGTTGAAGACGATGGCGTCCAGCTGCTGGAGGAAGTCGGCGCGGCCCTGCGCCGAACCCCTCGCCGCCGCGTAGTTCTCCGAGACCGAGTTGAGCAGCGCCAGCTCGTTCTCCAGGTAGCGCAGCGTGTCCGAGAGCAGGTTATTGGTGGCGTAGTGCTCCTTGGCCTCCTTGTGGGTCGAGTTCACTGCGAGAGGGAAGCGATCAGTTCACTTCATAGCCATGGGTGGGGGCTGTAAGGCACATTGCGACAGGGGAGAAAAAATTATAACATGAGGGTGGAAAGGTAATTCAGTTCATCGAAAGCGATAAGATTCAGTTCAAAGATAGAGGAGAGGGACGTAGAAGACACGACAATGCGTCATGAAGTCTGGAATTGCCACAGCGCAACAGCAAAACGCTCTTCGCTATATCCCGTTCCGTGATATTTAAAATGAAACAATCTATTCAAACAGTATTTTCAACAAAAAGGGTAATACACCATAAAGCAGCTCAGATCCTTTAGACAGTAGCATCACCATTATCCATCAGAACATACGGGAAAAACACAGGCTCCAGCGTAAGCATCATTAGCTGATTTTGTGTAGAACAACAACCCATTTGACATATTACATTTCCCATAAACATTCCCTCAAAACCCTCTTTCACAGATGAAATACAGAGAGGAGTTATACCGTCCTAAGTCTCACCCTGATTGTAGAGCTCGACGAAGCGTTTCTGATATTGGGCGATCTCGGCCCGGGACGGCACATCGTCCAGCTGGCGCTCCAGCAGTGCCACCTGTCGGCTGACGGCCGCAACCTAGCCGCAAAGGGCGCACACAGATGTCACTGGGCTGGTCACACGCAGAAGACCGGGACGCGGGGGAGGGATACTTTCGTCCCGTTGGGACGGCTTCTGCCGCTGTGGTACGCGGTCGGTGCCCGGTGGTCCGCCTAGTCAAAGGTTTCATATCCTATCATTCCAAAGCTCTGCAGCCTTTTCATGCTGAAAGAGCAGGCACCCAACAAAACAAACATAACACCTAACGTGATGATGGTGATTGGTGAAGCACCCATTCCGTCGTTTTCATCCTCAGAATGCTTAAATCCTTCTCCTCCACGCCGCAAACCTCATTCCGGGCTGGACAGACAGCCTTATCTCATGCGGGCTGCTCCCTTGGAGCGCACCGCTGCTCCCGAGGGAGCACACCCGTACCGCGTGCAGAGAGTGCTTGCGAGACTGGTCGGCCCGTCCATTCGGACGGGCTCAGCCCCGGTGACTCTCTTGGGTGCCTGCCCAGACCAATGTCTCCCCCTAATTTCTATCATCATTCCGGCTCTGAAATGGTCCTGACAGACCGAAAGAGCCTAACTAAAAAAAAAAAAAACGATGGTGAAGACAGCGGTTAGAACTGTGGCATTTTGATCAGACCATATCAGATATGAGAGGCATGCAGATTACTATAACGTCATATCCATCCACGCCATCCTCAGGACAAGTCCGTCCGCATCCCCCTCACGCTCCCTGTCCGGGCTGGCGGCCACCCCACCTGACAACCGGTGGATGAGGTCGGGTCCTCACCGGGACCCGTGTAAATCCTCTCCGGGTGACCGTTTGGGAGGCGGGTGGACTGTTCCAACGGGGCAATAGGGTCCCACACCGGGACGGTCTCGCCGCCGCGACTCACTGTCGGCGACCCGCACAGTCCAATATCTACGACCTATTTTCATATCCCATAGCTCTGCAATGGTCTTTTCACACTGAAAAACTTGTTCCTAATAAAACAGACATAACGCATGAAGTGACGATGGTGAAGAAGGCGAACAGAGCTCTAGGACTTTGATCAGACCATATCAGATATGAAAGGAAGGCTATACGATGCAGGCTCAAAATATGCAGCTATGTCAACCTCCTGTGACAACGGTCGCTGGGTTCGGAATATGGTGAGGTGGGGCTGGAGACGCTACCACATATGATCAGAGCCGACAGACCGAGGCACATATTCCTGATTTGGCTCGGCACCAGCTGTCATGTCCTTATTACCTAATGATGATGCCCACCTCGTGTCCAATGTGGACTATGGTCCAGCTCGAACCCACGTGGCAACCATTTCCATCCTTTGCAATGGTTAGTTGACTTCCTGCACTTGCTCGTGGCCTCCCAATGTTTACATAAACAGCAGGAATCAGGATTATCTAGCACGACAGCAATGTAACAAGCAACGAAGAGGACAACGTACACGACGATAAATTTGATGATCAGCCAATCTTCACAGTAAAATAACAATATACAACTGTCACGGCTATTTGGTGGTCGACCGAAGCATGCAGAAGATAGCAGGCGATCATTGATGACGCAGATAAGATGTTTTTAATTGAACCGTTGAGTCGTTTTGACATGTGGAGGAAACGCTGAATAATTAACTTCTTCAAAAGGGTGTAAGAATAAATAAATAAACATATGCAGCGATAATCCTTCTATGAATCTTCCACCCTTAATGCAATATGCAATAGAAACAAAAACGAAAAACTGCGAGGCAGGTAATATGGCTAAAGTTTCATCGTAGCGATTTTAAAAGTCTAGTCGAGTGAGGCACACATCTAATTTTGTTCCTATCTTCTGGTGAAAAGATGCTCAGCCCCATGCGCTTCACCCCGGGCAGCAGGATGGAAGGACAACTCCTCGTCAAACACTATCCGTTTATAGCATTGCACCCAGTGTTATTCTACACCGTAGGCGTCGCATGGAATAATCGACTGCAAATGGTCCTGGTCCCCTCCCAGCTGTCACCCCACAGCGCTTCCTCCAGGGTTGTCCAGTGCCCACTGCCTGTCCAAACATCCAGTAATAAATAAGGTAAGAATCACACCTCGTCCGATCTGTTACCTCACATCAGCAGTCAGGCGAACTGGAAATGGAGTTGGCAATGCTGCCAGCCCGGTTGTGCAGGCGGAAGAGGGCGTCTCACGTCACCTCCATCCTCAGTCAGAGAAGGGCGGCGACATCGGTCCTCCGACGGATGACTCAGTCGGGTGGGGGGGGGGGGGGGGAGGGGGTTTGAGACTAGCCCGGGTCCTCAGTCGAATGGGGAGATGGCATACTGACCTGGGTGCTTAGTAGGAGGAACTGTCTTGGGTCCTCACTAGGGGCTTAAACTGACCTGGGTTATCAATGGGGTAAATTAAAACTAATCTGGGTCCTCAGTTGGAGTAATTGGCCTGTGTCACTAGTCAGGTAGTGAGGACTGTTACTGACCTGTGTCTTCAGTCGGGGGACCGTTACTGACCTGTGTCTTCAGTCGGGGGACCGTTACTGACCTGTGTCCTCAGTCGGGGGACCGTTACTGACCGGTGTCCTCAGTCGGGGGACCGTTACTGACCTGCGTCCTCAATCCGTCCACGACGACTGTCTGTTTCAGCACCTCTCGCTCGGTGTCCGGGTCGGAGCGAGCACGACCGTCGACACTCTCCTGGAGACGGCTGGACGGGCGGACAGAGGGACACGGAATGGTTAGACTAGCATAGAGACGGGCAGAACGGCGAACGTACACACAGGGCTGAGCGGATATACCAAGACAGAAGGTTTAACGACGGTGAGAGAGACACACAGACAGATATACATAGACGGTAGGACGAACTTAGAGGCGGGCAGGGGGACATCGCAGACCCGGTTAAGCGTACACACAGAGGCAGATACTGTGATCAGCAACCACAGTCAAACGAAGAGAGGCCTGTCGTCCATTGTCGGTCGGGCGCCGGCCTATCCGAATCGAACTGAACGCGAGTCCGTGTGATTTTAATCATGTACTTTCTCCTTCACATTTTGACAATCAATGTCGAAATGCTGATGCTGATGATTTGGGTTTATGACATTCCCGGACCACCCAGCTCATCAGCATCCAGCATCCATCCACCCCACCCTAATGATCGATCCAAACACGATTCAGACGATCCGTTTTTTACAGTCGTTTTTCGTTGATCACCTAACGAGAACGTGGGTTAACAGTTATACAATGGAGACATTCGTCATGGAAAATGAGCAAACCAATTAACAAATAAATAACATGGCATGTTTCTGTGTAAAGAATGCCGACAAGCCCTAAGTGCGATAAATGAGCGCCTATCAGAGCAGAATATCACTGTTGCATGTATTTGTATATACAGAGCAATAAAAGTATGTTCCATGCAGGTACTAATTGACGAAATGTCGAATTCTGACGAATTAAACAGTTTCTTATCAACAATGGTTACACGAAACCGAAGTTCGACATGAAATACGCAAACTGCTTCACGAAAAAGTATCATATCACTACCAAACTGGGTCAAGCAAGGTAAGTCTGTCATCACAACAACTCCAGCTGCAAGGCATGCATACTGGAGAGTGGAGGCCTAGTGAAAACATGGCCTAAAGAGTAATGAGGTCACTATCAATACTTTGATAGATGAATTAATTTGCTTGATTTCATTGGCCGTATGCGCTGAAAATACAAATAAACCAAAGGTGTTACTTTTTGAAATTGGGTAACAACGGCACAATTCCTACAGAAAATGCTAAAATTACACAATTCAGCATATTTGTATCACAAACCACGATTCCAAACCAATGCAACGATAGATCCTGGTTTCAGTTTTTAAATAAAATTCGCCTCAATGATAAGCTGTGTAGTTATAGGTCAACGCTGATATTGGAGTGTAATTCGTAGCACCTCAGCACGTTCACGTAGCACTACATTCTACATACATACCCTTCCGGCGTCCGCTTTACCGGCAAGAGGCTAAAGTGAATGTTTGATCTGCACAATGTGCATCGCTGATGGCCCTGCGTTTTATAAGCTAATATGCTGGGGCAGGGTATATTGTGCTGGGGTTCGGGATGTGCGAGTAGCGTCCTCTCTGACTCGGTGCCCAGCCGATGATTTGGCCTTTTTTAGGCACCGTGCCGTGCCAATTCCCCAAAATGAGCCCCTGTTCGGGCTTAAAAGCTGATGACGCTAGCTGGTGCTTGTGGCAACAGAAAAAAGTAACGACAATTCTAAGAAGATTATGAAATTCAAGCCATTAGATCATATTAGAAAGTCAGTTTCATGCACACTACCGAATGTTTCACTCCAATATGCAATTAAAAATTCGCAGCGAGAAAGGAATGAGTCGCCTTCGGCACGCAAAAACGTTGTTCAGCACTGACAAGGATAACTCAATAAATTGGACAGTTGGGAGGGACCAAACGTCCATGTCATGCCTGTGTTTTAAATGGCCATTTTAGGTGCTGCGTAAAATGATATTTTTTCAACTGAGTCATGTCCACGTCTCAGAATGATGAAATTGTCCGACGTCCGTGTTACAGTTACTCGTATTTCCCTTGTATGAGAGCGAGATGACACTTGCATATTAGCACCGTGGGATATTAACCCGCGCACCGACGGGGGAGGGGGCGGATGACCGCCCCCCCCCCTGAGATCTCGATAACGAAGCAAGATAGCGACAAGCGGTAAACGGCATGGGATACGCACGGACAAGGTCTACAGTTTTTACTTAGGTCATTTTCAGGTCAGGTCAAAGATGACGTCACAGGAATAAAAAAGTCAAAATGGCGGCGCTAGATATGGAAAATTTTTCTCGAATAACTTTCGAATTAGCAGAGCTAGCAACAATTTAAGGGCATCATCGTGATCCTCTCGTCAATCCACATCGAATCATATATATGTTGACCTCGAACGGTCAAGGTCAAAGGTTGACTGCAGGTCACGTGACCTCGAGGTCATCATGTATATCATTCGATGCGCCTTGACGAGCTGAACACAATAAGACCATCCGCGCGGCTGTATCTTGTTCCTGTAAGGAGTTATTGGCAAAAAAACCTTCGGTGACCTTTGATGACGTCACATTACCTTACAGCTGGCCAGCAGCAAAACAGGCCTCAAGGTAGTGAAGGTTGATCGTATATGAAGTCATATATGGTATATGGGGCCATTCCGACGCGTTTTAGTGGTAAAAACAGGGAGCTGATTTTTCCCCCATTGCACAGTGATGCAAATGGGGTTCACGAGTGGCCATAAATACCCAAAAGTCAAGTTTACCAAATCGAGTTAATTGCGATATGGCCGAGTAGACAAATGTTTGGGGCATCTGAAATCACATGGTTTTCATGTTTTTGTCAAAACCGGCCTCGTGTATAATCGTCAGAAGTCGTGACATTTTCTAGGTCGTAAAATGACGGTCAGACACTCGCAAGTTCAAACGCCGCTGGTTTGCGTTCATCTCGTACAAATTGAAAAAATTATGCATGAGAATGATCCCCAAAGCCTTCTGCTTCTAATGCCGGGTCACAAAAAGCCGTATCTCATTCACTTTGGCGGTAATCTGACTATTTATCATCATGTTGCAATCGCAGTTTTTTACTAAGAAAAAAATGCTTTCGTTTCACCTACAGCACTTAACACAGTATGTGCCCGTTAGTTCACCATACCATAGCCTTCCCTAATCATTTCTGAGTCGCATCGTGAAAGAATTAAGGCGCTAGCACAGGGCTGACCGGCGCTACAGAGGTTTTTGTCCGGGCTGTCGGGCGCCTCAGTGGGCGCGCAGTGGTCGGGTGGGTGCCGCCGCGCGGCGTCCGGGCGGCGCGGCGGCGCGGCCGCCCGGCCCCGCCCGCTGCGCCGCGGCACCCGACCGTGCCGGACGAAAACTTCTGTAGCGCCGGACAGCCCTGTGCTAGCACCTTAATTCTTTCACGATGCGACTCAGAAATGATTAGGGAATGCTATGATATGGTGCACTAACGGGCACACACTGTGTGAAGTGCTGTAGGTGAATTGAAAGCAAATATTTTTGGTAAAAAACTGCGGTTGCAACATGATTACAAATAGTTAGCTCACCGCCAAACCAAAATAGATACGGCTTTTTGTGACGTGGCATTAGAAGCAGCAGGTTTCGGGGATCATTTTCATGTATAACTTTTGCAGTTTGTATGACATGAACGCACGCTAGCGGCACTTGAATTTCAAGTACCTACCTGACAGTCATTTTACGACATCGAAAATGTCTCGACTTCTGACAATCCTACACGAGGCCGGTTTTGACAAAAACATTAAAATCATACTTTTTCAGACACCCCAAACATTTGCCTGACTGACCATATTACGATTTATTCGATTAAGTTAACTTGAATTTTGGGCCTTTTTCGTATTTATGGCCACTCGTGAACCCCATTTGCATCACTGTGCATTGACTGATAATGGGGAGGTCGAGAAATTGACCTGACCTTAGGTCATCGATATCAAAATTCCGAGATATACAAATTGTAGCTATCAATGACCTTATAACATCCTGGGACTTTCAAAGGCCTCCGTCATCTAGGTACTGTTGCTATGACACGGTGACAAAGTTGCAAAAAAGTGACGAGGTTGGGTCATTCGAAGTAACCTGGTGACCTGACCTTAAAAGTTAGGAGGTTCAAACTGGCACACCATGTGCAAAATTGATGATAGAATAGTCATACCAAATTTCGCGGCGCGGTTTTATCACTATTCACGAAAAACCTCGGGGGGGGGGGGGCGGATAACCGACCCCCCGTCGGTGCGCGGGTTAAAAAGCGGTACCTACTCTACTGTAACTAATTATCATTATTACATCATAGTTGAAAAAAAAAACATCTTGAGTGGCTGTACGCTTGCAAAAAAAGAATGTTCATTTCATTATTCATCCAGATGTGTGCCATAATAGGTGTACTCTGTTAAGTGCACCTTACACTCTAGTTATGGTACACAACATTTACCTATCCTACAAACGGACATAAAATACTCCAAGACCGAATTATGAACTGTTCAAAGCGACATGATTATGTAACGCTGGTGCGTTTCATTTTCCCTCCCCAAACCAACCCGTTCCCAAATTCATCCTTCATAACAGCAGCGCGCCGGCGACCGGACACCGCTGACCCGCCGACCATCTGGCCGACACCGGACGGCAGGACAAACACGGAGCTGAGACTGCGCCGCCAAACGCCATTATCCTGCGGCCCTTACAGAGCCGTCTCACCGCCGCTGACCGTGGAAGGGTCCAGCAATGGGTCCCAACCCCGGTCAAGGGGGGGGGGGACGGACGAACAAAGGCACGCAGCCTCCTACGCGCGGCGAACGGACGCCGTCAGCCTGGGAAACAGGACACGACAGCGCCGCTGCGGCAGCGGGAGGCCGGGGCGCCCGGGACCAAATTGACCACCGGTATCACACTTCAAAGGCAATTTCTTCAAAACACGGCTCGAAATAGCACATTCCAGGATGTGCCGAGACTGGCGCCGACAATCAGCATCGTGAAACTGGGACAGAGTAACAACATCCAAATTCCAGCATGGCACGGCACATCCGCATTCTCGGACCCGGAACCCACGCTGGCAAACCTGGCCGGAGGCCACGCATCGCCACTGGCAAAGTTTTCAAAATTCACCAATCGACGTCTGGATATTCGAAACTGGGAGGAGC